ACGTCAAAGTTGGCCATTTGGGCTCTTACGAGCAGAGGGATGCTGGCGTTGGGGGCTCCGTCGAGGAGTTCTTTGTGGTAGAAGCAGATGAGAACAGACTCTCTTTGGAACCTGTCGAGGTTGGAGTTTCGATTCGAGCTGTTGCTGATAAGAAGCTCAAACTTTCTTTTGACGAACCCCACAGTAACCTTGTTGAAGCCCCCTCCGGAGATGACCATGGCGGAGGGGAAGGTCTCCCACAGGCCATGTGCGACGAAGTAGGGAGGGATGCTGAGCCCCTTGGGGATGTAGAAGTCTTCAGGTCGCGAGATGCTCATGGCGACCTGAAGGCTGGTTTCTTCTAGGGAAGGCACCTCCTCTTCAACCTTCTTGGACTCCTGGGCGTATTTTCGAGGAGCATCCTTCCTTTTGGAGAACTGTTTCAAGTGTCCTTCCCTGATCAGTATCTCAATGGCATCCTTCAGGTGGATGTAGTCGTCGGTCATATGACCGTGACTCTTGTGGAACCGGCAATACTTCGGCTTGTCAGTATTTGGCTTGGGTGGTATCTGTTTAGAGAACCAGAGTCCTTCTTGCCATAACTCCGAGTTGACGTACTCGAATAGGATATTTTCTCAAGAGACGGTCAGAGGAGTATATTCATGGAACCGGCCAGAAGGCCCTTTGTTATCTCGAGGCTCTCGGGGCGATCCTCGCGTCTTTTATCTCCTTGATGAGATGTTGAAGGCTCATTGTGCTTGGAGGACCTGGTGCCTCGAGTCCCGGACGGAGCTGGCAGCTTCTTTCTCCTCGTACCGAATATACACTTGCGCCTTGAGGAGGAAGGCGTCCAGCGTTGCTAGAGTTTCAATGCCTACTACTTTGGAAAATTCTGTGTGGGGACAGAGCCCGCGCTCGAGCAAGAACTTCTTCACGTCGTCGGTCGTGGAGACTTGGACAACTTCTTTGTTGAACCTTTTGATATAGGCTCGGAGAGGTTCATCATTCCCTTGAATGATGGCCTTAAGGGAGGCTTCGGTCTTTGGGTGACGGCGAGAGACCGTGAAGTTTCTGGAGAACATTCTCCCCAATTGCCTCCATGACGTGATGGATTCATCAGGGAGCCTCTTGTACCAAGTCATCTCTCCTTACCTCAGTGTGGTCGGGAACAATCTAGATTTAATGGTGCCCCGAACGCCAAGGTAATTGTGCAACTCATCAATATTTTCGATGTGCTTGTCAGGGTCTGTAGTACCGTCATACGTGCTTAGAGATGGTGGTTTCTCCATCCCATTCGGTAGGTGCACGACCATAATTTCCTAGGACAACGGGCAACGAGGCTCGCCGTCACTGCTGCTGCTGGACCATGAAGGAAAACGGGTACTTCTTCTAAAGGTAGGATGGCGATGTCGAACAGGGAGATGAGGTTCGTGCCCGACCCTTGGATCTGGGCGAAGGCGAATGCTGGGACTCTGCTTGTTGATCTCTTATGGTCTTCTTAGTCCCCGGAGAGTACTGGCTCTAGGGGGAGATGTGGTTGCGCTTTCTGACTGCCTGGGACTCTGGCTCTAGAGGTGCTCGACGGTTTCTTTCACGCCGGGGAGGAGGACTACGTGATCTTTGGCGCTCTTTCCTCGTTGGAGGGATCTTGGCCAGCTTGAATATTCTAGAGCTCCAATCATTACGTTCTGATGAATGATTAGAAGGTTGGTCTTGTTGAGAGCTTCGAGGAGGGCCGCCATGGCCCGATCAGCGCTGGGCAGAACTGGAACTGGTTGGTGGTCCTAGATGGACTGGACCTCATCGTGATCAGCGCGAACGGGGGAGGGAGACGCAGTGGCCCCATCTCTTGGTTGGTGGGCGTCGCCCCTAAGAAAGGTGGTTGCTTCATCAACATCAGTCTTGCTGACGGGGAGGAAGGCAAAGTTGCGAGCATCGTGGGTGTTATCACAGCTGGCCATGATCGGAGTTTTGGAAGAATTGTTTTGGTCTTGAATCTACGATGGAAGAAAGACGGGGATAACAGAGTTTCCCGCAGACGGTGCCACTGATCTTGACGGCTGATCAGAACCTAAAGTGGGCTAGAAACAACGTCTGTGATGCTGGGTGTGAGAGATGAAGATGGAGATGTACCTGCAAGGCACTCCGATGCTAAAGTGAGAATCGGGAGAAAAGAAGGCAAGTACATAGTATGTGTGTGTTAGGATGCTTATTGCATACCTAACCCTCTCAAATGAGAGGATTTTTATAGTGCCCCAACGCTTGGCCATTGGTCTCTATTTACGGAGCGAGATAACTGTTCCTTGAAGAATAGGTAACTGCCAGAAACTATTCATTGGAATGTGCAGAGGTGCCCAAAACTAGCCGTTGCTACGAGCATAGGTGCAGTAGCGGGCACATGCGCCGTGACTGTTTCTAGATGGTGGAACCGTGCGTGACGGGCAAGAACTTCTGAGGAGGGGCAGCTGACCCTAGAGGTCAGCCGAACAACCTTCCCCGGTGGAGGGGTAGAAAGGTAAATGTTCCTCCAAGTTGGCTGGACCTAGGCAATTGGGTCGTTATAAGAGCAGAAGTAGATTGGGTCATGCCTAGCTATTGGACCAGTCCGGAACATAAATTATTTCAATTTTAAATTTATCTTTGTATATGTTTTATTGATTTAGTTATTTATGTTTGATTCATTGTCTTATCTTTACACTCCTTTCTCCTTCATCCATGTTTTATCCTATTGACTTTCGTTTGATAAGGTTTTTAATGTGGCATATGGGCTCTCCCAATTTGGATTTTGATCTAAGTCCTAAATTTTTTTTTATATCTTTCTTATTTTTTTATTAATATATTTCATTAAGATGATTGTCTCAACCTAACTGAAATACCTTCGATATTAACTTGTCACCCTTTTCTTTCTAAAAAATAGAAATAAATTGGGTCTTTTTACTCTTTTTTTGAATGGTGGTTACAATCAGGGTTTTAAAAAATGCTCACGATCACATTAAGATTTTTGCAATTTTGATGGATACAAGTGTTGCAACACTGATTGCGATCGTCAAGATGTAAATTAATCACAGTTTATATTCTTTAACATATAAAATGGTGATCACCAAGATGTGAATTATCCACAATTTATATTCTTTAACATATAAAACAGTGATCACCAAGATGTGAATTAACCACGGTTTATATTCTTTAACATATAAAACGGTGATAACAGTAACAATATCGTCAAATACTCATACCGTTTTGTGGCGTTCGTTTTTGTGGTTGTAGACTTTTTTAAAACCCTAGTTACAATGTTATTATAGAAGAACAGATTGAAAAATTCCCATTAACATGAATCACCCAAGTTGTAAAATTAGAATATTAGTGGTCCGATTAAGAAGGATGGAGATTGTGATCTCATGGATGAGTATGTGGTTATCTCCAATGGTGGAATTCAGGTCCAAAATTCATGGTCCAATACATACACTTTACTTTCAGCTAGCTTACAAAATGGAGCTCCACTAGCTCTATATTGGGGTTCACGGAATAATGTAAAATTAAAAGTGAAATTCTTATCATAAACGTTTAAAGAGACCATTTAATTTGATATTCTCCAAGTTTTATGAGTTTAATGATCATTCACATATACTATAGATTTTTTTGTTCATTAAAAGAGTAAATAAATTCAATACTTATTTATATTCTCTCTAATTAAAGTTCATATATATTCTTGTGTTGCTTTTCATCACTTATTTTTTTCTCTCTTTTTCTATTTGATGGACCAAACTAACAATGACGTCAAAGTTTAGAATCAATGTTGTTTGGATTATTTTTGCTAAAAATATTGGGTATTACTTTATCTATTTGGTTGGGAACTAACTAAAAATTTAAAATTGTCTTTCTATATTTCAGAAATATAAACTAATCAATATTCATATAAAGGGTATAACAAGTGAACCACATTTCGTTTATGTCAAAAAAATATTTCAAATATGTATTTTTAACACATATAAAGAGTAAGTTCGTATATACTCTTATATTGGAAAACAAATAAAATGGGTTTGGAGATGTATATCCTAAATATTCTTTGAGATAAGGTTTCTAAGGGTTATACTGAACCAAAACTTATATAAACATGTGGTTTCATCTCATGTTGACAAAAACACATCACAAAAACACATCACACCAGACTGACCATATATTGACACGTCACATTTTTTTACATCAACGACACAAAACCCTCACTTGAGTTTAAGATCACAAAGTATATTTATAGATCTGAAATTCATATGTAAGAATCTTCTGCAATACTCAGACAATCGAAGAATTGTGAAACTCGAGTACTGTTTACCTTTGATTGACAATGAAGGGAAGATTCAGTTCAACAATTTTGAGCTGAAGACATATGAAAATTTAAGGGTTATGTGGAGTATATTTCATCATATTACGAACAAAAAGTCTGATATTGATATAGATAGATGCGAAAATTGGAAGATCGATCAAAAATATTCTAAATATGTTGCAACGTTTTACTGAAATATAATGTTAAATTTATTTTACATATTTATATTAGAATATTATGTAATGATACATATTTTGATATTAATTTATGTTTTTCTTCAACCAACTATTACTAGTTTGTGGTTTAAGTTTACATAGTGCATTTCGATGATATATCTCCGTAAATTTATTTAAATTTTAAAATAAGGATTATTACAGAAATATACCTCACAAAACATTAGGTATGTGTAATTTCATTGCGTTCTAAGATGTACCTCTAAAATCTAAAGATTTCTGTAACTTTTTACCACGACGAACTAGTATTCCATGCAGTAGATAAAGTAATGCACTAAAATTTTTGTCCAAAATGGGACCAAAATCTCAACATGGATGCCTATGAATGGGCTCTCATGAAGAATCAAATCTTTTTACACAATTTATTCACCTCATGAATATCTATTTAAGCCCTACGGTTTCAACATTTCGTTTATGCACTAAGGTCATATACATTCCATATACTAATCAACTACTCTATCATGTCCATGGCTACACATATTCATAACCATGTAGCACTATTCTCTTTTATCATAATCTTTCATCTTGTTTCATCCACATTGGGTGATCAAAACTCCAACAATAATTATATCATTCACATGAATTTATCAGCCATGCCAAAACCCTTCTCCAACCAACAGAGTTGGTACTTGGCCACCCTTTCCTCACTACTTGACATTACTTCTAATCAAGTAACAACAAACAATGATAATCTGAACTATATTTCTTCAAAAAAACTCACATATACCTACACTAATGTCATGAATGGTTTCAGTGCAATTTTGTCTCCTTTAGAGCTTGAAGCTCTAAAAACCATACCCGGGTATATCTCATCCATAAAAGACTTCCCTGTCAAACCAGACACAACACACTCACCTCAGTTCATTGGCCTTAATCCAATTTCGGGAACATGGCCTACAACACGATATGGAAAAAATGTTATCATTGGTTTGATAGACAGTGGTATTTGGCCAGAAAGTGAAAGCTTGAAAGACGACGACATGCCTAATATCCCTTCACGATGGAAAGGACAATGTGAAAACGGTACTCAATTTGATTCGTCATTGTGCAACAAAAAACTTATAGGAGCACGATTCTTTAACAAAGGATTGTTAGCAAATAATCCTAACATCACAATAAGCATGAACTCGACACGTGACATAGACGGTCATGGTACTCACACATCAACCACTGCTGCTGGAAGCAAAGTCGAGGGTGCATCCTACTTTGGCTATGCCTCGGGATCAGCCATAGGTATAACTATTAACGAATACAAGAGACTCTATTTATGCGTATAAGTCCATATATAAAAATGAAAAGGATAACATAAACAAAACTATGAACTAACTTTATTTCTTATAATAGGCGTAGCACCACAAGCTCATGTATCCATGTACAAGGTTTTGTGGGAAGAAGGAGCATATACATCTGATACAATAGCTGCAATTGATAGTGCAATAACAGATGGTGTAGATGTTCTTTCATTATCATTGGGTTTCGATAACGCACCTTTGTATGAAGATCCTGTTGCTATAGCAACATTTGCAGCTATGGAGAAAAACATTTTTGTATCTACATCCGCAGGGAACCGAGGACCCGTGCTCGAAACTCTACACAACGGAATACCATGGGTAATAACTAGACAATAATGAACACAAATTTCTATTTACACATAAATTCATATAAATATGAGCAAAATAACATAACTAGCTTTATATCTAACAGGTAATAACAGTGGCTGCTGGCACATTGGACCGTGAATTTCATGGCGATTTAACCCTCGGAAATGGAGCAGTAGTTACCGGTTTATCTCTCTATCCAGGGAAATTTTCATCAGAAAAATTTCCAATGATTTTCATGAACTCATGTGATGATTTGAAGAAACTCATCAAAGCAAGAAACAAGATCGTGGTCTGTGAAGACAAAAATCGAACACTTGGTGCGCAAACTGATAACTTAAACCGAGCAAAAGTTGTTGGTGGTGTTTTCATATCAAATAGTAATGAAGACATAACATATTTCATTCAAACCAAGTTTCCATCAATTTTCTTGAATCCAATCAACGGAGAACTCGTCAAGGATTACATAAAATGCAACCCTAACAATCCAAAAACAAGCATGAAATTTAACACCACCATATTAGGTACAAAACCAGCACCAAGTGTGGATAGTTATAGCTCAAGAGGACCATCACATAGTTGTCCATTTGTATCAAAACCCGACGTCACAGCGCCAGGAACACTAATCTTAGCGTCATGGCCACAAAACGTTCCCGCAACAAAACTACAAACACAAAGTAATCTCTTCAACAACTTCAACCTCTTAAGCGGAACATCAATGTCATGTCCACACATTGCAGGTGTAGCCGCACTTCTAAAAGAAGCACACCCTAATTGGAGCCCTGCAGCCATTAGATCAGCTATCATGACAACATCCAACATGTTAGACAACACAAAAGAACTCATCAAAGATATCGGTAACGATAACAAACCAGCTTCGCCTCTAGCATTAGGATCTGGACATGTTAACCCTAATAGAGCACTTGATCCTGGTCTTGTTTATGACGCGGCAAAACAAGATTATGTGAATCTTCTATGTGCATTAAACTTCACACACAAAAATATCATGGCTATCACAAGATCCTCTTCTATCCATTGCTCTAACTCTTCTTTAGACCTTAACTACCCTTCTTTTATAGCCTTTTTCAATAATGCTACTGTTCATGAGTCAAAGGCTATTACACAAGAGTTCCAAAGGACAGTGACCAATGTTGGGGAGGAACAAAGTATATATGTAGCTAACATTACACCTATTGAAGGTTTTCATGTTAGTGTTGTTCCAAACAAGTTGGTGTTTAAGGAGAAAAATGAAAAGGTTACATATAAGTTGAGGATAGAAGGTTTGAGAATGGAGGAAAATAACAAAGTAGTTTTTGGGTATCTTAGTTGGACAGATTCAAAGCATGTTGTTAGAAGTCCAATTGTGGTGACTAGCATTAACTCAGAACTAACACCTCCATAGATAGAACTTGCAATGTTTCTTTGAATATTGGTGATTGCTTTGTGATGAAGATATCATCATGTTTTTATCATTAGTTGGTTTCAATTTTGTGATTTCTCATTAATAAGTTAAGTTAGTTATTACCAGGTCATTAATATTTGGTGATTCAATTTGTTGTGTTTGGGTGTAATAATTTGGTTCACGTTGTCTTTTACTTTTAATGTCTAGAGGTAGAATTGGTTGCACTATGAAATAAATTGTAGGAGTAAAACTTTTACATTTGTTGTTGTTTCTTTGATTGTGTGTTTGGGGGAAATGTGAAAGAAAAATGGAGTAACTCAAAATGGGGGGAAATAAAATAAAATGGAGAAATTATTTACTGTCAGTTGAAATCCGATTTGAACGAAAAGTCAAGATGTAACGTCATTGTCATTGACAACTAGCGTCTTAAATGTGTTTTATGCATTAGATGTCTTTTCATATGCTTTATCATAATGAATTTTGGAAGCTAGAGTATTTGATTGTTTTTTAGAAAAAATTTAGATTGTTGATAGCGTCTATCTTCTTTCTTTTAGTAAGACATTGCACGATCTTTGTAAAATCAGTTGTACAGTTTCTTGGTGCATTACCTTTGCTCTTTTCGTCATATGTAACCATACAACATATCATTTTTTTATTGATGAAAGTGGTTCTCACCATATGTCAAAAATCGAAAGAGGATATTTCTGTCTCTTAGATAGACCCTACGATTTTGGCAACTGTTTCTATATTTGCTCGCGAAGGGAGTATCAAAAGGATTTTCCTTGACGTGGATCCTTCTTCTACATGAGGCATATTGATCCCTAAGGAAGATAAAAAGATTTGTAGTGAATATGTCGAATGTGATATTCTTTTTTATAAGTGCACCCTTTCGATTCAGGCTCTTCGGTTGCCTTTCAATTGTTTCCAAATAGTTTTGAACAATCTAATGATTGCCCACTTGCAGTTGAACCCTGTCAGCTAAGCCTATATTAAAGTCTTTCAGTATTTGTGCGACTATCGGGGAGAAAAACCATTTTTGTCATTTTTCTTTCATTTTTTAAGGGCACAACAGAGTCTAGTGACTCGTGCTCAGGGCCAAGGTTTAATTACACTAGAGCATGTCACTCGTTACTTCGAAGCATATTTCGATGGCGTGAAACAATTCGAAGATCACTTTTTTTGGTTGCCCCTCTCAACGAAAAGGCTCATGTGAAGTTATGTACCATAACAATTGGAAGAGAAAACTGATGCACAAGTTTGCTTCATAAGTTTTGAAACTAATATGTCTTTTTAATGGGGAATGGGTCGTCCGTCTACAAGGAAAGTGACCTGTCCCATGAAGAGTTTTACCTGAAAAAATAGTTATTCACCTTTTATAAAGAGTTGGATTACACCAAGGATATTGCCCCTCGTGATGAAGCCTCAAAGAAACACTTGAAACAATTCATTAAAACCATTCTATTAATGGATGCTAATACAAAGGAGGAGAGGAAGATCATTTTTGTTAAGCTTTTGGTGCCTCTATCTTTTGATGTAAGTTATTTTACCTACAATGTTATTGATGTTTGACAATCACCATAAGTAGATTCAATGAAGAGTGATAACACTAAAATACATAGGTCATTTTAACTCGATTTTCATGCCTTTTAGTGTCATTGTATCAGTGTTATGCTGGTAGTTTGTGTATGTTTCAGTTACTTTATAGGTAGAAGTCGATACACAAAGAAACTAGACGAAAATGACACAAAATAGAGAAAATATGGCAAAAATACACTGGTGGCAACCCCCACGGTGCCCGCTATGGTACTAGCCATGACTAGGCAGTCATGGAGTCCACCAGAGAGAGAAAAGGAGCAAAGAGACGGAGTCAAAGACCTATGACGCCCGCCACAGTCTTCCTCCGTTCCACCATATTTTTCTCCCACAACTTCTACACGTTTTGACCTCACATTATGCACTTGTAACACTATAAATAAGTAGTTTTATTAGAATTTTGGCATCCAAGTCTTGTGCAAGTTTAAAGCAGTTTTAGTTTTAAGCAGAAATCAGTTTTGAAAAGTAGTAGCTTTCTCACGTCGAGGGACTACTACACCTTAGTGTTTTAGGCATTCATTGTAACTTGCTTAGATCAAACAATCTTGTCGTCATTCGAATTTTTAATTCCATTTATTTTTCAGCTTTACATTACAGGTTCATTTTAATTCAATTGCTTTTAATTTTCAACATTTATTTTAAGTCATTTAAATTCTACTTTATTATCTCCTTGCCATTATTGTAATGTCTTCTTTTCCATTCCTTTACGATTTATTGCATGATTGATCTGTTTAACACATTAGCACTCATTGTTATTATTCATTTTCAATTATATATCATGTTTGAAACTCTGTTTGCAATGATTATTTATAAAAGCATGTTTATTTCTGCAACCATGTCCGACTAAATTTCTAGAGTCTGAATGTGAGGATCGTCGTTTCGACGGGACTTGATAGATTCAATTAGCATATAGTTTTAATATTAACTTGTTTTTACGATTCCAATTTTTAGTTTTAAAATTCAAAGATTTTGCGCGAAAGCGAAAACACTCAGTTACTGGTCAACAACACGATAATGTGAGACCCATATATGATCTTAAAAATTGGATTTAATTTCTAAAAACAGTGACAATACTTTAGGGATTAACTAAGATTTATTAGTTTTCAAAAATTATTTAGAAATTGTAACTGAGACAGCGACAACAAAACATTTGCAATTTCAAAACATACACGGGTTGCGCAAAAGTGAGCAGTGTTTTTAAGTTGATATTTTTTTCTAAAAAATATTTTAAAAACCAAAACAAATGCCAAGGATTTATTAAGTTCTAGAGGTGCGATTGTAAATTACATTTCGGTCCCGCTTTAATTAATTTTCTCTAAACCCGACTTTATTTCTTGTTTTATTTTCCTTTTAAAAATCCAAAAATATACCCGATTAGGCTTAGATTTACATAGCGATAGTTGGTAATAATAGGTCTTAGTGGGTTCGATATCTTTTGTATTACTCTGATAATATCCGTGCACTTTCGGATAAGCTAACACACGTAGATACAACAAAGTTTTGGCGTCGTTGTTGTAACAGCCCAATTTTCATTAATTAATTATTTATGTTAATTAATTAATTTATTAAAATTATTGGATGGTTATTTAAATGATTTGATAGATAATTGGAGAGAAGAAATATAATGGAAAGAAAAGAAATAGAAGAGAAAGGGATATAAGAGAAAGTGGAAAGAAAAGAATAGAAAAACATAAGAGGAAAAGAAGAGAAAGAAAGAAGGAAGAAGAAAGAAGAGGAGAAAATAGAGGAAAAACTTGGAATCATCAAAACGGCTTCTAGCTTCCGACTAATCAAGGTAAGGGTGTGAAATGTTGTTATCTTACCAATGTATATGATTATGTATGTGTGTGTTTGGATTTGTTAGAGATTTCCCATCTTCTTCCATTCTAGGGCATAGATGGATTTAATTGATAGAGTCGAGGTTTTAACGGTTGGAATCCGAAATAAATGGTGTAGATTAGTCGAGGATAGTTAGATTAAGAGTACTGGAACTCGTTGGAATTGAATCGGGTGATTTTGGGAGTTTTGGAGAGTTTTGGACAGTGAGGGTTTTGAACATCGCAGACGTTCGCTAGCACCTTCGCTAGGCGAGCAGGTCGCGAGTGTTCGCTAGCAACTCGCTAAGCAAGCAAGCTAGCGAATGGTCCCAGACTTGGGCAGAATGTATTTGATCTTGTTCGCTGGTAGCGAGTGAGGTAGCAAAGGATTCGCTAGGACCTCGCTGCAGCGAGTAGGTAGCGAAGCCTTACAGTAGCTTTTGTTTGCCTTCGCAAGCTTGTTCGCTAGGCGAACAGGTAGCGAGTGTTCGTTAGGGACTCGCTAGGCGAGCAAGCCAGCGAGCGTGACATCATTCTTATTTCTTTGTGATTCCATCCAATGTTGATTGTTTGGTTTGATTGTGTTCAATCTTGATCTGAAATGAGTAATTGTGTGCTGTGATATATATGCTGCGGGTAGCCGTATGACGTGAATCCTAGATTGTGGAATCGATTATGAAATGTGGTCTTTTGACATATATATGCATTATTTAAATTAATTAAAAGTGCATGATGATTTATGATGAGGTTCGTTGCCGTTCGGCACAATATTGTGAATAATGCATGAGAACATATTGTGAATATGCGTGCATTGATTGAAAATGTGGTGATGGTATTGAATTGTGAATGCATATTGATTGTATGCAATATTGTGAATAATGCAGGAGAACATATTGTGAATATGTGTGCATTGCTTGATAAATGTGATGATGTTGAAAGTATGAATACTTTGATATGATGTGTGAGTGTGCAATCATGATATAATTCTTGTGTGATGAATTATTTGACTATGCATGAGATTAAGATGCGAGAACGGTCTTAAGCACATATGGTTGTTGATTGCATACGCATCATTTAGTCAAGAGGCAATGCTTGCTAGTTTCGTGGAGACTAGTGACTTGTTCCAAACCTAGAAGAGTGAGTTTGAAAGCTTAGAGGATGGGCTTTTGTTGTTATCAGTCTAGAGGATGGACCCGGTTTAAATGTAAAAACCGAAAAATGATAACAAGTGTTGGTACCACATGGCATTGAGTTGCATTGAGTCACATGACATATATCATTGTTAGATGGAAGTATGCATGTGTATGAATTGTTGAATGAGAATTGTGATTGAATGAATAAACATAATCGTAAATGTTTACGTGGAATGATGTGAATTGTGGATATATGCATTACGATGTATATGAGGGAATTATGATAAAATGTGGTGAGATCGTAATGTATGCATATTTTTATGTTAATGTACATATATGATTGTTGTATGAAGTTATGCATATGTGTATGTACATGACTTGTGTAATTAGGAATGATGAATATGTGATTGTTGTATGAAAGTGTGCATATGTGCGTGAATAGTTGGATTGAGAATTT